AGATAGATAGATAGATAGATAGATAGATAGATAGATAGATAGATAGATAGATAGATAGATTAGATAGATTAGATAGGGGAAATTACATGGTGGTCTATAGCTGTCATTCATACAACAATAAAAAGAAGGCCCATCAGATTTAAGAAAAATAAATATCTTATCTAAATATATTATATGAATTTAGACAAAAAAATAAATTACAGTAGGGTAGCACGGTTGCTCAGTTGGTGGCGCTCAAAATCCACTCTCGGGGACTTTTCTGGATAGAGTTTGCATGTTCTCTCCGTGCATGTGTGGGTTTTCTCTGGGTACTCCRGCTTCCTCCCACACACCAAAAACATGACTGTTAGGTTAATTGGTAACTCTAAATTGTCCCCAGGTGAGAGTGAATGGTTGTTTGTCTCTGTGATGGACGTGTGACCTGTCATGGGTGTACCCCACCCCTCACACCCTGAAAGGAAGAAGCAGGCGTAAATAACAGATGGATAAATAACAGTACAATTTTTTTTACCACGTTTATCTATTATGCTTTTGCAAGAAACTGTCAGCATGACTTTAATTATGGGATGCTCCATTTTTCTGACGCTTGTCTGTGTTTTTTTCAGAGGTTGAGCAGATCGAGGCCATTGCAAAGTTTGACTATGTTGGTCGAACACCCAGGGAGTTGTCCTTCAAGAAGGGAGCCTCTCTGCTTCTGTATCACCGGGCGTCGGAGGACTGGTGGGAGGGCCGACATAACGGCGTCGATGGCCTCATCCCGCATCAATATATTGTAGTACAAGACCTGTACGTGACAGTCGTGTGAAGAAAAAGTTGTTTCTGTTTGTTCAAGCTGAGCTCATTGGGCTGTGTCTGCTCTYTCAGGGACGATGCCTTCTCAGATAACCTCAGCCAGAAAGCTGACAGCGAGGCGAGCAGTGGGCCGCTGCTCGAAGGCAAAGGCTCATCGAAAAACGACATTCCGTCACCGTGCGAGCAGTCACCAGATTACAACTTTGGAGGAGTCATGGGGAGGTGGAAGCAATTAAGAAAAAACAGCTTTTCAAGTTTTGACAGTTGTTAACCTGGAGGAGTTTTTCTGATCCGTTTGTTTTCATCCCTCTCTGCAGGGTTAGGTTACGATCGGATGGAGCCGCCATCCCACGCCATCGGAGCGGGGCCGAGACCCACAGTCCGACCAGAGTGGCCGACACCCCGCCACGGGCGGCTGCCTGTCCGAGTAGTCCCCACAAGATGTCCATCAGCAAGGGTCGCATGGAGAGCCCCGAGAAAAGAAGGCTTGGTACTTTTGGTAGTGCGGGCAGCATTAACTACCCRGACAGGAAAGCGTATCCCGAGGGCCACCCACTGAGACCTGTAACAGGGGCCACACGCCACAGCAGCCTGGGAGACCACAAAACGCTGGAGRCTGAAGCTTTAGCAGAGGTAAGAGTTCCTCCCTAATGCAGGGATGTCAAACTCGTTGGCACCAAGTGCCACATGAGCATTATTGTTTCCCTCAAAGGTCAGTTGTAAGAAACTTTGATGTCTCGTGTTTAACTTCAACTAAACGTCAAGTTCCTTTTCTYATTCCTACAGCTGAGCACCGCTAACAAACAATAMCTKWGCTCTGCCTGGTATTTCCTGCATACAAACAGCRTTTCAACATGTCCTCTTATAAACACTTAAAAGTACTACATGTACGACTGACTAAATGTGAAATATATTATACAAAAATACTATTAAAAATAAAAGTAAAATAGTTTTACGCACTGTTGAGTTGTGGTGAGGAGCTGCCATCTTGAATTCTCAACTTTGCCACTTTCTTGCAGGGAATTCCCACTGAAGGGGCATTCTAGTTTAAATTGATGACCAGTACGACTGGGCAGCAGCAAACATCGCCTGTGAAAATGCAGTGAAATGGAGATTTTACGTGGTGAATTGTGCCATCTTATTTTGAACCTTGTAAACCTGCATTTAGTGGAGGGATGCTGTCATTTTGTGGGTCAAATAATCAAAAGGTATTATGGGAGATGTAGTTTGTGGTCATTGCTGGATTTAAAGCAGCAAACACATATTAAAAGACATTAATATACCTTTGAATCTCGTGAGCCAATAACCACTTAAATGTCTGACAGCGTATTAGTTTATTTGTTTCCTTAATGTCAGGGATATAAACTGAGAACATGGGTTCATTTATTAAAAAGTAACCACTCTCAGCTGCCWCCACACTGTAGGAAAAATATGCGTTGTTCAAAATGGTATGTTCGAATAAACAGGAATCCAACTGGATTTCTTGTCAAAACTTTATTTTCAATCTTCTGACTCCAGTCAGGTCTACAGTAYAGCACACAGGCCTCAGCGTAAAACCTTGAGCTAAATCAAAACAAAACACTGGAGCCCTGCTCTAAAGCAGAGACTCTGCCACACACTGACCACTTCTTTTACTATAATCATGAATTGATCTTATAGTGTACATCTCTTCCTGGTTACACCCCAGGAGGTGTTACCTTTTACGTCAGACATCAGAACATAACTCATTTTTGTTTAGACTAAAGAAAGAACACATGATGACACACACCAACAATTTGTCTGTTTTAATTTTACAGGCTGAAATGATCAGAAAATATAAAATAAAATACTGAATCTAATATTCAATTAATCAGCTACAAAATTTACTTAAACTCTGAGCTCAATATTATTAGAATTGACTGAGTTTTAGCTCTTTTTGTGCTTCCTAAAATCAATTGGYTGTGGCGGCCATTTTGACTTGGGTTGATTTTTTTAAAGTTAATCATTTGTAGATTATTACTTTCTGAGGGTGTCATTAAACTYCAACTAGTAATTCATGAAACATTGTTCATCTTTCGTAGGGCAGTGGGTGACACCGACTGTACTGTCCTGTTGTTCTCCTCTCCCCAGGATATAGAGAAGACCATGACGACTGCACTCCATGAGCTGCGCGAGCTGGAGCGGCAGAACACCGTCAAACAGGCTCCTGACGTGGTCCTGGACACCCTGGAGCCCATGAAGAACCCCGTTAGCTCCGAGCCGGGCAGCCCTCTTCACACCATCATGATCCGTGACCCCGACGCGGCGATGCGCCGCAGCAGCAGCTCYACCTCGGAGATGATGACCACCTTCAAGCCCGCCCTCTCTGCCCGCATGGCRGGCGCTCAGCTGCGTCCTCCGTCCATGAGGTCGGCGCGGCCCTCTCCGACGCAGCACCGCTCAAGCAGCTCCAGCTCCTCGGGGGTGGGCAGCCCCGCCGTGACGCCCACCGAAAAGATGTTTCCCGGTAACAACGCGGCTTCGGGCTCCAACATGAACGTCTCCGGTGACGGCGGGGAGAAATCTGGGAGCATGTAGCAACGAAACGGCTCTGCTGCTCCGGTGAAGACGAAGGCAAGCAGCTGATAAGGTTTCTGTTCAGGAATATCTATGTTAGCATGGTGACAGAGCAGCAGGGGAAGCTTTAAACTTGACTAAATGTGTACTTGTATTTGCAGTAATACCTCAGCTCGAACAGAAATTTGTGGCCATGTTCCTCTCACAGAGACACATCAAATTACAGTGAAGCAATACCTGTGGRAAAAAAAGATATGGTTCCCGCTGATGATACAAAGTCCAGTCTGAGCCACTTCATGTAAACTGGTGTAGGCATTCAGGCTAAAATACCACCTCTTCTCACCGTGTAGGGCACAAGCCTTACTGCTGTAAATACAGACCTACTTGAAGTCACCACGCATTTTTAAAAAAAAAAATCATACTCAGCAAAGCTACAAACCTGGTGACATTTGTTTCTGCATGAAGGGATCCGAAAAAATAAGGGGAAATGCTAAAAATGATGAGAAAATTGTCAAATCTTTCCAAAATCACGTTGGCTCAATTTTTAAATTGGCATGTGTGTGGCAGCGCTACAGTGATGAAGCATCTTGGCATGAAGAGGACTGCTCATCATCTGCCTCGCTAATCCAAAACAAACCATCCATGAGCACCGTGCATGGTTGCACAGCAGGGCAGATCCTAACGCTCCTGTTTCCATGTTTCCTTTTCATGCKCTGTGAATGAAGTCTCCRAAGTCTAAACTCACCAACAARTATAGGAATCATGTTGGAAGCTTGTACATAAAACATAGCTAGCTAACTGTGGTTCAGGTCGTGTACAGGTWAATGCAGATAATCATGAATGATTGATCTGAGTTGCACGTGTAAAGACAATAAACCACATTTTTTAAATATCATTTACAGTAGATTCAAAACATGACAGTAAAACTCGCTTTGTACGTAGAACGCATTTGGTTAACAGTACTGTAGAGAAAAAAACGACTGAATAAATGTGCTTTTTAATGTCCTGAGTGTCTTCAGTTTGGATCGTCTTTACAGCTCGAGTGATTCATGTTCAAATCTGATTTGGGTGATGTTTTATTTTATTTTATTTTAGGCTCAAAAGCAATAGTGTATCCTKTTAAAGGTTCTCCTTCAAACATAAAATGCTGTTCTCATCCAGAGTATGGCACTTTAGTGTGAGCTTAACTTTTGTGACAGACTGTTATCAGACTGGTCTCCTTACTTTCTGCCTTTTTTCTTGTCATTGCTATTATTCAGTCATACTCAGAGTGTCCATTCCTCCTTCACTGCTGGGCACAATATTTTAGTGTTTTGCATTTGTTGGACCGCTTGACTTCTGACAGTTTTACTCTGTGTGATACAAATCAGGTCACAGTCGCTGAATGTGGTGCCTTGCTTTGGTGAAATGATTCATTCAACTTGAACTCAAAACTGTCCTAAAGTTTTACGGGGTTGAGACTATTGCTGTGTGCAGCAGTTCTTGCAGTGCTGCTAGTAAACAAGAACTGCTTAATTTAAAAAAGTAAAAAAATAAAAATAAAAACAAAGTTAAGGCAGGAGTTTTAATTTCATGAAGTAGGTTTCTGTGAAAAGAATATTTATTATCTAACTTATTGTAGAGAACTGTTTGAATGGCTTCAGTTTGGAGAAATGGAGTTTAGATAGACGAATAAATACTTAACTGATTCCCAACTCAAGGCCCGCAGGCCAAATCTGGCCCTCGTTAGCATTTTACATGGCCCCAAAGGTAATACTTTAAATATCGAATAGTTTTATGGTTTTTCTTTTTGTTACTGGATTTAGTACATTTTTTTCAAGACAGCAGGCCAACTTTCAAGCCAAGAAATAAAATTWGAATTTTTAGTAGTCTTTGGTTTTGTTGTGGAAAGAGGAAGAAAATTAAAGCCTAATTATTGGATTTTTAGTGAGGGTTTTCTTTTCTTTTCTTTTTTTAACTAGATTTGCTGGATTGTGATTAAATGTATATWTAAGATATATTTATTTTACTTTTACCATTGTTTAACCAGACAAATCCCATTGAGATCACAGTTCTCTTTTTCAAGGATGGCCTGGGCCTGAAGGCAACCTATCGTACATGTTTTCAGGGTGTGTGAGYGACACAAGTACYCAAAGAAAACCCACACAAGCACGAGGAGAACACGCAAACTCTGCACAGAAAGACCCCAGGTCCGAACCAGGGATTGAACCCAAGACCTTCTTGCTGTGAGGCATCGGTGCTAACCACTGAGCTGCCAATTATAAGTAAAAAAGTAGGTAGTAAAGAGTAAGACTYAAGAAATGAATACTAATGAGGCATCATTCTAAATAATTTTTTCTTTATCTGTTAGGTTGTGTATGTTCTAAATGCTACATAAAACATCATTTGGAATAGTTCATTTATATTTCCATAATAATTTTTTATATATAACATTTTTAATAAATATCAACAGAAATCGGCCCTTGGCTTGGACCAAGTTTTGAAATTTAGCCCTCTTGTGTAACTGAGTTTGACACCTCTGCCCCGAAGAATATTTCTAGTCTSTTTTAGAAACTTTTAAAAATTCAGTAGTGCAAAATGTAGCTGCAACTAGCTGTAGCAYTTCCAGCAGGAATAGCATAATATTTCAGACAGAATAAGCAATTAAAGCCAAGTTYATATTGTGTGAATTAGTTTTAACAAAATCCTTGTAAATTTGTAACAAAAATTCTTGGTTTGTGTTGTTCAGTGTGACAAAGCTYACTGAAAGCTGATTCTCGTGACAAAGATGATCTAAGAAAACCCAATAAACCAAAATTTTGWTTGATTAATAATTCTGTTGTATCTTTGAGAATCCAGCATCTGTGCTTCTCAGTCTGAACCAGGCATGAGGCAAAATTGGTGGTGGTGTAAAGTTTTATAAAACAATAGTATCATCTGCTATTGTTGAAATAAGAGTTGTTCTGAGATGGCAACAATCCATTTTGGTCTATTAGCTTGTCAATCAGATCAGAATTAAGCGCTAGTTCTCCAAACTTGAAGCTGTTCAAAAAGCTATCTAGGACAGGTAAGATATTGYTGTTCATAACGGTTCGTAAAAGGCACTGATCCCATCTTCAGCTACAGACACTTGCTCTTGCTGGTTGTTTTGTTTCATTGTGCAGGAGAGCTTCAAAGCCAAAAAAATAAACAGAAGCATTTAAAGTGATCCAGTCCCACCCTCTGCTGGTTCCTGCTGGTTCCTGCTGGTGTTGCTTCATCGTCAAATTAATCAGCAGTTAATTCTTCTTTTATGGGCATTATGGAGTCAGTCTGGAGCTACTATGATGCTTACATGAATCTGTGTTGCTCTTCTTGTCTGCTATAGTTTTGCACCTGTTAAAACCCATGAAGRCAATGATTCAAAAAGCACATGGTCATATGAGGTGAAATATTCAAGTTTAACTAGATTTTTTTATTTACACTCTTGTGTAAGTGAAACATGACATTTGAGTGCCTTTTGTGCACAACATCCTTTTTTATTGAACTCTTGCTTTTTTGTATTTTCTTTTTTTAAATCTGTTGCCTATTGTTTATTATGAACTGATGTTGCCTTTTTGTTGWCAGAACCAACCGAAGTGAAGCTAACATTGTACAAAAGTATCCCTCCTGTGAATGACAGAACCATCAGAAATGCTCATCGGAGTTTGRATGAATCCTGTGGAACTAAAAAAACAAGAAAATAGAACTCCTGTAAAGAGAAGTTACCGGTAGAATCATCTCTGAATATTTCTGTTTTTATTTTTGTTTTCTCTGTCGTCTGCTTGTGCTGTGGTTGAGCCTCTTGTCATTTCAAAGAGAAGCTGTTACGGATACGGACTTCTGTCGTGTTTTAGCTACAAGGTGCACTCTCATTTTCCCTACATGTGTGATGTGATGTACATGTGATCCAAAAACAAAACAAAAACAAAAAAGARAAGAGAGAAGAAAATAAAAGAAGAAAAGATAAGAGTTAAAAAAGCAGCGCAGGGCCACATCAGGTGACTGGAGTGTGAATTACTTGTCACGCCATTTTCCCTTTTCTCTGTTCGTCTGGTGAAGCCRTTTGTTGACGAGTGTCTGGTTGGTTGGAACCTGTGATGTGGCGTAAATCATCTCACTGACTGAATGTGGAGAACTCCTGCGTTGAAATAAACCATGATGAATAAAATCTATTGWGCTCTGTGATCTGTTGTTTCTGACTCAAGTGTTTTGTAGCTCAAAGCTGGGCCTGAAATCAAAGCTGAAACAGAAACAAGAAAGCAACACAATGAAGGATTTTCAAACACAAACAACAGTTTGATACCTGTTAATACTAATAAAAAAACCCTGCTGTATTTTGAAAAGAACAGTAACTAAACTATTACCATGTGTTTGGATGCTGCTGGATTTGACTTGAAAAACGAAAAGAAAAAAAATTAGGAGAACTTTGCTGGTAACTTTTAAAGTTTTCTTTGCATTTTCTTATCGTGTTTATCATCTGATAAGAACATTTTTTATAATATTGCAGAAACATAATGTTTTAGCTAGTTATTTATTTTTCTGTAGCAGCAGGTTATCATTGTGCCCAATTTTGTTCCTTCTTTCAGATTTGTAAGTTGAAAATCGAGACAATTTTTTTGCAGGATTTAAACAAAGATTGCAGTGAAAAGCTCATTTCAAATGTTATTTCAAATGTCTAATTGAGGATCCAATAATCTCCAGAATTGTCTTTGTAGCTCTTTCTAACTTTGGCTAAAGAGCATGTGAACAATAATAATTGAGATAAACAAAACTAAAATAAATAATAAATTAATAAATGAACACAAAAAGAAAAAGATCATAGAGTCAACCTAACCCTTTCTGTATGGAGTTTGTTCTCTCTGTGCGCAGGTGGGTTTTCTCCAGTTTACTCCAGTTTACTCTCACAGACCAAAAACATAAAGATTTAGTTAACTGGCAATTCTCATTAGGTGTATGCGGTTGTGTGTGTGTGTGTGTGTGTGTGTGTGTGTGTGTGTGTGTGTGTGTGTGTGTGTGTGTGTG